TTTTTTTTTTTTTAATTTTATTTATTAAAAATATTTTTTATTTTATTAAAATTTATTTTAAAATTTTATTTAATAATTTACAAAATAGTTTGATTTTAATTAAACTAAATCTTCATAAATTAGGATTGATGTATTAGAATCAGTGCAGATGTATCGATGTAATTTTAAATAAAGTATGCTAATATTATGTTTCCAGCTAATAGTACATTCACACTGTCTCATTTAAGCACTTGCTTATTTATATTAATGAGGAAACGTTCAAATTATATTAAGCTCATTTATGCAGCCGATAGAACTTTTATACACTTTTATAAACTTCACTTAATAATACATCACACAAAAAAATTAAATGTAGAATTGATATGTTAAGTCTTTCATATACATTTTATGTATATAACACATAATTCAAATTTTGGACATTTTTCTTGTGGGAAATTTATTTTTATGGGTTGCATTCGACATTTTATGCCTTAAATCAATCGATTTATTTGTAATGAGCTCATTTATATGAAAGCCTGATGACCAAAACTGCTTAAAGGCGGCAGTTTATACCATGTGGAAACATGATAGAATAAATCAAGGGAAATTGCACTAAAAATGTTGAATGCAACGTTGAGAATTATGTGTCCCGATAGAGAAATTATCAAAATTTGACATATTTGACATATGCAAGAATATGTAAATAAACAAAAAACAAAAGTTTCAAACAAACAAGAGGTATATAATGTGATATAATATAGCAGAGGTATATGATGCTGATATAAAGTGATCTTTACTGGAATGAGGATAAGACTTCTATTCCGACTTTGAATTGGTTTAAGTAAAGAATATGTGTAGATACTCCTAATAATTAGAAAACCCTCAAAGAAACACATTCTGACCCTTAGTCAATTGTTAGCCTAAGAAAAATTAATACAAGCATGTATGTGAAGGATATAAACTGTTTAGTCTGACTTTAATTTAGTTTAGGTAAAGCATATTGACATTATAAAACCCTCAAGGAGATATTTTGACATTAAATTAGTTATTAACAAAAAAGAATCATTATATATATTTGAAATGTTCTGCTCTACTGAGAGCTCAAAACTTAGTTATTTTCGATTTTATTGTTCTAGAAGTCGTAATTGAAGAATTTCTTAGATAATTACGAATTGATGTGTAAATGAGAATATTCTTCTTATACAAATTGTACCTATTTAATAAAAAAAAAAACAAAAAAGTGAAGGAAAAAAAAACAAATGAATTAAGAAATAATATTTGAATATTGTGTATACTATAATTTTAAGGTGGAATGAGCCGTGAAGAGGTTATTGATACTAACGAGAGACTGAGAGCTTTACGTTTACGATTAGAGGAGTCTTATGATACCGCAAAGCAAGCATTAATAACGTTAATGAATAAATACGGAGACTCAAAAAGTCAACGCAATATATTTCAACGTTATCCGATGCTTAAATTAATGATAAAGGTAACTTCAATTTAAATATATATATATAAATTAAAAATAATTTAAATTTAAAAGTTATTAAAATATTAAATAATACTTCAATATATTATAATTTGTAATTTTTTTATAAGGATGTCATACGATTGGAAACCCAATATTGGACTCTAATTGATATACCCCGTCAGGAAAAACAAGAAACGGTGCCGTCGTATGTTATGAGGGCTTGTGCAATTATGGAAAAAACACAGAAATCTGGCGAAGGCGTTAAGACATCAGCAAAACTAGCCGAAGAAGCGGCTGAAAAACGAGAACGAATGGAACGTCTGGAACGTAAGTTTATATTGTTACTTTCTTATAGAACTTATTTTATTATATATGTTTTTTTGTTTCATTTTAAGTGCTATACAATTTTAGATATATAATAATATCAATTAGTTAAATGGTGTTACTTTATATTTATTAAAAATTTTTAATGATTGTTTTTTAACTTAAACATCAGAACATAGTTTCTGTGATGTTGACATTCATCCTAACACTACCGATCTTACCAAAATTTTTTCTTCTTATTCTATTGTAAGGGGGACAAAAGAGTGTGCACTAATGGAGGAGTAATGCGAATATATAGCCTAGCTTTCTCAACTGTCCACCTCACCTACCCGTGGTGCATCCTTTTTCTACATACGAGACTCTGGCGACCGAGTACAGGCGGTATGACCTAAAAACATATAATTGAGCGGAAATTCTCTAACTACTTAACACTAATCCTATCTCCGGGTTAGCAAATAAGGAGATCCGGCCCTCTAAGTTAGGGGTTAATCGCAAGTCCAGCAACCCTGCATCAAAAAAATTTTAACGCTACGCAACCATTAGGGAGGCCAAGGTTCATACTGGACTGTAGTGCCAAATAAGAAGAAGAAGATTCTATTTTCTTCTTGTCTTCTTTTCTGTTTTGTTATTGCAATAAAATATTTTCAAATCTTTTTATCCAAACTTTCCGTCCATAAGATTTTAGGTTGTTGGACTTGAGGTTATTTTTCATTTGTCTTTAATCGAATCTTATTTTTTTTTGTCAACTGTCAGGTTACATTTCATATCTTCTATATATGTAGTTCGATATCCAAAATTATGTTAGACCACCAATATATTAAAATGTTAGATAGACATTAGACATCAGAACCTTTTCCTAACTAAAGATGCACACTGACACATGAGGTGAAAAACAGTTTCCTTCTCATCCGCAAAGCCTCCACCTCGACAAAAGTCATGATAAAGTAGATGGTATCAGCATAAAATTGATTATTATGATTTGACTGTCTTCACACCATATCTTCAAGGTCTTGATTAGAGAGATGGGAAAACTGAGGTCACCATTTATTATGTGATATACATCCGAATATTAGTTATGATTCTATTTGGCATATTTATTTTTATTTAATTACGTCCACTTAACTCACAAGATAAATTAACAATAAAATATATTTTAGATATGACGACTGCACAAATCGAACATGAAAATACGCAACTGATAAATGATTTATATAGACTACTGAAAAAATATTTGGGTTTAAGACATTTAATACGTGTATTAAAGGTAAATAATATTTTAAAAATAATAAATAAAAAATTAATAAATATTTTAAAAAATTGTGTTTTTATTTGCAAACAAAAAGGAAGAATATGGTAGTTCTAAAATGTATCCAATCTTTCCACGTTACACCATGCTGAAGGATATGATCAAGGGCATAATGCATGATCCAGATTACATGGAAGTCTGCCATGAAATCAATAACTGACCAACGTATTAGGCTGGGTCCACAAAACAGAGGCGCACAAATTATGCTTAAAATGCTGTGGATTCTAGCAAACAAATTTATTAAAAACAAATCAAAATATACAAAAATTTGTTGTATAAGTAACATTATTAATATATAAATAAGAATAACAACAAATAGAAATTATGACGCTTTAATTAAAAACTTAGTTTCTTAAATGTGACTTTAATTTAATAGAATTAATTAACTAATTAACTTAATAGCTACAAAACATTACTTACTATATATACAATACTCGTATATAGCTAAATATATCTGCAACTATTGACAGGAGAACACTAAGAGAAACTATATCTTGAACTTCTACAAATTCTACCCACCAAAAATAATTACAAAACACTGAGCTCGAAACACGATTTTAAAATAAAAACTCTTACTTACAGATACAAAACTTCGTACTTAGCAAAAAAACGCATTTATTTTTCAAACACTTTTTACCTAAAACAAAATAAAATTAATTTAAGACAAATTGCTATTGATAAATAAATAAAATGTTAATAAATAAATAATTTATGGAAGATGTCTATATATAGTAATTACAAATTGATTTATAAGAAATAAATATTTATTATGATATAGCAAAATATTAACTTGAATAATTCAAACTTGGATAAGTTATGAATATAGATAAAGAAAAATCAAAGATAAAATATTAGTTAAATCTATTAGTTAGACAATATCGGAGAACTGTTCCCATATAATATAAATTAAAACTTAGATAAACTTAATATTTTTGGATTGTTATGGCTACCGTATGGAAGTAAAAAAATACTTCTATTATTGAGAAAAAAATTACAATCATGAATTTTATTTTATTAGCAATGATTTTAAACTATTATTAAATTGGTGTCTAGAAAATTGGAATTAATATTAATAAGTAACAGACTACTATCATATTTCCATTACAGCTAATACTACTTATGTTAATGAAATTAAAATAAGGTCGTTTCCATTGGCATAAGCTGATTTATGTTTGTGAAGCAGTTTATTTGTTTACATTTTATATAAGCTAATTTATATAAAAATTTTTTATATGGTAAATTTTACTCATTAGCGACTCTAATGAGCAAAACTGCCTAAATGATATCAGTGGAAACATGATATAAGGCGTAAGTGGTGTTAGCAATCATCGACGGTCACATATCTTTAGGGACCTCACACAAACTAACAAACACTTTAAATAAAATTCATTTATAGTTATTCTACAAAACAATTCTTTCAAGTTATATATTATATACATATGTCTATTGTATTATTACTATATATTATATATAACTGATTACCAATAATTCATATAAAAAACAGTAAACGAGAAATTATATGAAGGAGAATCTTAATTTAATATTTCAAGCAGGATTTATTTTAAGAAAGCAGAATTGCAAGCAATATTATAGATTTCTAATCTATTTTATAAATAATACAAATAATTAAATATATTTTTTTTCCAACAATATATTAAAAACTGCAAATGAGTTTTAAATATATATACTTCCACAAGTGGTTTTTAGTTAACCAAAAAAATTAAATTTAAAGACTTCCCGAATGACCTTCCCGAAGTCTACAATAATGAATTTTTACTCAAATTAAATTTTAATTTTTTTTAACATAATTAAATTAAAAAGAATATATTCTAATATGCCTTGTTTAATAATGGAATATATTGAGGAAATCCATGATGGGGCCAACATGGATCTGAGTCAAAATGCCAACATTTCGACTTTCATTTATTATTATTATTGTTATTGATATAAGATGGGACACTACGACCGTCGGATGAATTTCTTCCCCTTTCAGGGTTTAGAGTAAGTCTCTAAGCCCTGTTGCTTCGATAAAAATTGGTGTGAAACCTACTTTACAGAGTTTTTTTGCCTCTTCCGTAAGAGTATACATACCCAAAAGTCTGTTCCATATGTGCATTAGCACAGTAAAAGTAATTTTTATTTAATAATATAAAAATTTTGAAAAAATAATATAAAAAAATAATATTTTGCTCAGAAAAAAGATTCAATAGGTAGCCAAATATAATCCAAGGACTTTAATTTTTTAATAAAAAGTAATATACTACATATAAATGAAATGAGTACTTAACGCATATATGATATAACAAATCAATATATTAAAACGAAAATATTTAGATAAATTTTTATAAAATGCTTATATGAAAATACATAAAATGGATATACTTATAAGAACATTTTATATATTTCTAATGCAAAAAAAGTTAGAATACAAAAAAAAATTATAAAATTATTTTTATTTTAAATATTATAATTATGTTTAAGACCTCTTTTTACTTAATTTGTGTATTTTATAAACATATAAAATAATGTATATATATATACATAATTATATATATGAATATATATATGAATATATCTATGCATATATATAAGTAGTTTTATGTATATGTATAAATATATATGAATATATATAGATAGTTATTTATATTTATAGATATATGTCGATATATATAGACAGATATTTGTATATAGACATATAAATATATACATATCACAAGCTATCAGTCATATATAAATATAATAAAATATAATATTTTTGTTTTAAATTATATAAAAAAATTTATTTAAAAAATTATAAAAATAACAAAAAATAAAAATAAATTGATAAATAAAAAATCAAAATAAAATAATTTTTTTGTTACTTTAAAAGTAACACAAAAGAACAAATTATTATTAAAGGAAATTAAAATATTTGCAAATTTTATAAAAATTATAAAATCTAAGTAGAAAAATTGTAAACAAAAAACAAAAAAAATTATAATATAGTACAATGTTAAATTACAAAAAAAAAAAAATATTATATATATAATCAATATTAATAATTCTAATATTATGAAATGCTTCTCTTTGAAAATATATGTTTAGGTATGTTGTAGGATTTAAATAAAACTATAAAAATATTTACTAAATTCAACTAAACATATGAGGATTAGAAATATAAATTTTATATATTAAAAGTATATTAAAACAATTAAAACTATGCAAAAAAATAAATAACTAAAAACAATTGGAATAGACATATACGCTTAAAATGAAATATTATGTAAATTTTTATATTGCTGTGTTATATATAAGCAAATTTAATCAAATTAAAATGAGGAAATCTAAATTAAAAATTATTGAAAAGCTTTTTATATATGTAAAAAATATGTGGGCTCATTGGTTTAGAAAATTACATGAAAAAATATATATAGTATGAAATATACATAAAATATCCTTTAACAAAATATATCGTAAAAATAGTAAATGAAAATGCATATGATGGAAATCATAAAAATAATAACACTATATAATAATTGCATTTGTAACTATATACTATATTTGTGAAGTAAATACTATTAACTGCAAAATGCAATTAAAAATCGGACAACACTGAAAATAATTTTCACATACCCACCGGAGAAAATTAAACAGGATTACACAAAAAAAAATTACACAAGGGTATATACTATATCACAAATTATTTACATGACAGAGTTCACAATATTGTATCCATATATTTTGCAGAACTTAATAGAGATTAAATTTTGAATTTACTAACAAGCAAAATAATATAAACAAATTAAAAAAATTATTTAAGAAAACCATAAAAAATTCGAAATAAAAAAGTCTTGATAACAAAATTAATTATTAAAAATAAATTAAGTAGAATGTAAATTAATATACGATAACTAAATGAACAAATTAATTAAATTTTGAAATAACAATTAATTTAATAAAAATAAAATCTAAATTTTATTTTTTGTATGAAATAAATTCAATTGACTAAAAATTAATTTATATAAGTAAATAATAAAAATAAAAGAATAATAAAAATAAAAATTAAATTAAATAATATAATACTTAATATATTATAAGAAGAAGAAAGAGGAAATTAATTAAATTATAAAATAATTATTAATTTAATAAAAGTAAAAAAAGAAACATTTTGAATAAAAGAAATTAATT